AATCTTCGTCTAGGGTGGGTAACGCGCGTCGCAGGTGATTCGTCAGCGTTACTGCGAGAACCAACGGATCCCCATCCTGGCCAAGTCTCAGCGTCCGGAACTTCTGCAGCGCCTCTTCTCTGTCCGCAGGGCTGTCGAACTCGCACACGAGCCTCTCGACGACCTTGTCCCACGCCGCCTCACCTTCCAGCTCCCGAGCGTTGTCGTACGCAGCCTTCGCGCGGCCCCTTAGCAGCGTTCCCAAGACCACCAGCTTCGCCTTCTGCTCCTGCACTCCAACCAGCTCCGCGACAGCTTCGAAGTCCCTGAGGAACGTCCGCACATTTCCATCCTCGAACACCTGCGGCCACGGCACCTTCATCTCCGGCAGAAGCAGCGACACCAAATGTAAAGAAGACAAGACTGAGGAGACTGAAAGGGTGTTTATTTGGTGAAACGTGTGGTACATAGCTAATTTGGAATACCATATTCTCAACCGGCCATTTGCACATCATTTACCACATCCTTGACGAATTGGTCGAATATCGTCTCATTCGATAGCTTCTTGGATTCTGCATCATATGGCAACATTCTTCTCATGGTTCTCTTCTTTGATTGCTCTTCCCAGTGTGCCAAACATATTGTTACTTCGTTTCTGATATACTACTTATATCGGATTATAAGTAGCACTCACCACAATACCACCTATATCAATCACGAGTCATGCAGAGAGTAACTGAGTTACTAATATCACTGATCACTCACTAGAATATAACCTAATCAATGCATTCCAACACAGATTGCTCGAAAGACGTTCATCCACCACTCACCACCAAGATATTCCCATGCAGCACTATGCAGAAGGAGTAGGAATTTCTACTTCAATACATAACCACAGCCTTTGGTAAAGTTCCAAATAATCTGGATGTCACAATCCTGTGCTCATTAGATATTTGCAACCAACTTCCAAACGAATTACAATCATTACAAGATTTCATCATGAGCTGCCTTCATCACTCACTCACTCACTGGGGAATGCAGGTGACAAGTCGCAGATGGGACGAAATGCGCGTTATCCTGGATTCCACCACTGCTAGTCACCATCCACCAATTAAATTTATACTTCTCACTACCTGTGCACTTAAAACCGAGACTATATGATCTGTCTAGAATAGATGTGATCATTAGATTGTGCAGTATTCAGTTGTTTATTACACCAACACAAAACCACAGTCCATAGTGGATTTATAATCTAAAATTAAAAAACTCACAACACACGATTGAGTTAAATGTCAAATGTCACAGTAAATTATGAAATGTACAACAAATGCATAAGAATGAAAAAGAATTCAAAATGTGAAAATGACAAAAATTCAGTGAAGATAAATAAATGTGAAGTGGAAGTTAGTTTATTTAAAAGTGTTGAGGATTCTGGAAGCATGATAGTTTATTGACATAAGGATAAAAGTTGACCACTGCAGTATAGAGTATAAAGTCACACAGTATTGTTATACAGTGAGTATTATTTACTGATGACCACGTTCCGAGCACAAATTATTGCCACTCATAAATGTATCAAGGCACTAGTCACACAACTTTCTGACTTCATTTATAAACATGAGTAAATTCAAGTGTTGGTTTGTAGGGATTTGGTTGGTATCAGGATTTCATCATGAGCTGACATTGGTTAGAGAACCACTGGAAAACTTTGGAGTACTGGACAGTTAGCTGTTTCGTCCTAGTTTGAGACTCCCCGGGGTTCGAATCCTAGGACCTTCTGGTTACAAGGCGACGTCGTAGACTATTAAGCCACTGGGACCAAGTAGGGTGCAGCAGGTCGGGTGTGAGCACAAATACTCGCCGAAAATATTGGCTTGGGGGTCGCGCTATGCCGTAAATTGACTGAAGTTAGAATTCATGCATTAGCCATTGGACCGGGTCCCAGTGGCTTAATGGTCTACAAGCTTGCCTTGTAACGAGAAGTTGCTGGGTTGGAAACTCGTGTGGTGGATGCGTACTGCTGAAGAGTGCCAAACTAGGACGAAACAGCCGTCCAGTACCCCCGGGTTTTCCGATGGTTCTCTAAATAATGTCACCTCATGATGAAATCCTGACACCAAAAATGAGTAAAATTTGGTGATTAGGCATTTGAATGAAATCAATATAAGATAAAATCTTTCAAATTTTTTCATTCCTTCACGTTTTCCTTTTGAACACAGGGCTTCAAGCTACAGTCTTGAAGTTTCTGTAGCAGTGGTGTTTATTTTTACAGGAAGGGGTTGCCAGCATTATGTCCAACCTTTCTTCTTTACCAGCTTCACTTTCTGGTTTGGCGAGGTAAAGGAGTGTGTCCGTGGCCGGGGATTGAACCCCGAACCATGCGCATAATTGGCGAGCGTCCTAACCGCTGTGCCACCGACTCATATAAGATAAAGTATATTCAGAAATAATATTAATACAATAAGATGCTTTTATAGTAAAAATTAGCAACTTGTTATAATGTGAATTGAATACACTTTAACATTATTTATTATCCTCCTCTGATTTGACTGACTGGTGGTAATAATATCTTCCATGTCTCTGTTGCATTTCTGTTGTATGTGTTGTGTTGGGTGTAGACTCGATGAACCAGGCAGGATTCAGTAATCAATCTCTCTCTCTCCACCTACCTTTATTACTTTTTAGAATTTTAACCCTCTCCCACCCGATTGTGTGATTGTGTGTTAGTGCATGCAGTGTAAATGTTGGGTTTTCTTCAAAATTACCCATCTTCGTGGGGTCAGTCATTCTACATTTAGTTGAATTCTTATGTTCTGATAAGCTGACTACCCCTCCCCACCCCATCCACTGCTTTGATCTATGTGGTTGACTTAACTCACAGTCATTGCAAGGTATTTCGTAAATTATATTATTTTGTTTAATTGGGTCAGAAGGATCGTTTAGCATACAGGACCGCTTGTCCTACCTGAGTGAGTTTGTAACAACGCCACAATGTTATAATTATTTGTAATAGTAGTATTTCGCAATGACCGAATTACAAGAAATCAACCAACAACACAGAGAGGGATGAATTTATGAATTTGTATTCGGAGGAATTTTTTGTAATTCATATAATAAATATTAACAAACAACAGTAAGTATTTAAACAATACAGTGATAGAAATTGTCATTCACCACAGTGTAGCAATCCGATCACCAATATCTCCAGTCGTGACAGATATCTTTATGGACAGCTGAGAAAGTAGAATTCTTAATATATATAATCCTACTCCGAAGATATGGTAGAGATATGTGGATGACATTTTCACAGACCAGAACATATATCTAGTTACCTCACACAAACTTAATAGTAGAGGGAATTAAATTCACATTTGAGTCAGAAAATGAACAAAAAGAGAATTAGCTATGATGTTAGATTGTAAAATAAAACGAACAGAAGCAAACACTAGCGTTTATAAAAAGCCAACTCATTCTGCCAATAGATATTGAGACTTTAATTCATCTCATCCGTTATCCGTCTGTGAAGGCTGGCTTAGTTAATTGTCTAACATACCGAGCAATAACAACACTAAATAGTACAACAAAAAACTTAAACGATGAAATGAAACAGATAGAAGAAGAAGCGTTGGTGTTAAATAACTCTCCCACAAAATTCATACATATAATAAGAAAAGGTCAAAAGCAAAATAAAAATAATGATGAGACTAATAATGATAGAATAAATAAGAGAGAATATAAGGTATCTACAGTAGTTTTACCAAATAAGGAGAGGACATCTGAGACCCTGCTCATGTAGGATTCTTAATAAAGCAGGAATTAGGGTGGTATTCAAACCTAAAAACTCACTCAGGTAGGACAAGGGCTAATTAAACAAAATAATGTAATTTACAAAATACCTTGCAGTGACTGTGAGTTAAGTCAACTACATAGTTCAAATTAGTAGATTGAGAGTAGTGAGATTATCAGAACATAAGAAATTAGCTAGGTGTGGAATCACTTACCCCACGAAGATGAGTAATTTGGAAGAAAACTCAGCAATTGCACTACATGCATTAACACACAACCACACAGTAGGGTGAGACAGAGTCGAAATTCTGATGAGTAATATAGGTAGTTGGAGATGGAGAGAGAGAGTGATTGATTATTGAATCCTGCCTGGTTCATCGAGTCTACACCCAACACAACACATGCAACAGGAATGACTCAATGCAAATACCAGAGACATGGAAGATATTATTACCACCAGTCAGTTAAATCAGAGGAGGATAGTGAATAATCTTAAAATCTAATTTCAATTCGCATACATTGTGACGTTCTAACAAGTTACTTAATTTGACTATAAAAACACTCATCTTATTTCCCATCTGATTGTAATTGATGAATAACACTCATATTATTATTTCTGAATGTACATTATCTTATATTGATTTTACTCAAATGACAAATCCTCAATTTTTCCTCATAATATAAGTGAACCAAGAAAGTTGTGTGGGTGAGTGCCTTGATATGATTATGAGCAGTCATAATACAGATCAGAGACTTGGAGCTTCATAAAGAACATCTCAAACAAACTACAGACCTTCATTAACAGTTGTCTTCGCTCAATACCACTCAAGATCAGATGGCCGGCCAGAAAACATCAGCAACAGGGATCTTTGGGAACGAACCAACCAGGAACCGATTGTGAAACAAATAGGGAGGAAGAAATGGAGATGGATTGGCTGGCCATACTCTGAGGAAGCAAACCATCAAGTGACATCACTAGACAAGCTTTTGAATGGAACCCGAAAGGGAAGCGGCGAGTTGGTCGTCAGTGCAAGAGGATGAAGACGTGTGGGCAGACTTGGAGCCAGGTGAAGACTCTAGCAGAGAACCGAACGCAATGGAGACGAGCGACTGAAGCCCTATGTTCCTCTAGGAATTAAAGGAAACAATAATAATAATAATAATTTGTGCTCGAAACGTGGTCATCAGTAAATATTACTTACTGTATAACACTGTGTGATTTTATCAGTGTAAAATTTTATTCGCGATGGAACTGTAAACGAAGTTTCACTCTAAAGGTTTAACAAAAATCGCTGTGTTTGTAAAATATTCTTTTGAAATGAAAGGATTATTATTATTAATAATATTGATATTAATACTGTATAATGCATTTATTTATTTCTTTGAAAATTTCACTGATGATATAGTCTCTGTTAAAGTTGGCGCTGGTTTCCAGTTGTCTAATTCAACTATCTCTTTGCGTATAGCAGCCATCAAGGCTTTATTGGCTTCAGCTTGTGTTGATTTCATCCTTTTTTAAGGAAAAAAATGTATAAAATAGTAAAATAAAATGCCTTTCATATAAAATAATTATGGATTTTAGAAAAAAACTAATTCCTTGAAATCCATTTGTTCTGACTTTCCAAACCTCTATGGATTATCCAAGATTCATCAGGTTGATAATCCATTACGTCCAATTCTATCAATGTGTCACTCCCCTACACACAAATTATCAAAATGGTTAGCTGATATTTTAAGTCCAGTACGCAATGAATTATGTAGGTTTACTTTGAAAGATACATTTGAACTTGTTGACTGTCTTGTAGATATGAACATAAAAGATAGGAAAATGTATTCATTTGATGTTAATTCTTTGTTTACTAATGTACCATTGGTTAAGACTGTTGATATTCTTTGTGACTATATATCTTCTAGTTGTTTTTCATTTCCTTTTCCTTCAACTTATTTGAAAGATTTATTACTCTTATGTACTGACAACGTCCATTTCACGTTTGAAGTTGGACAATTTCGACAAGTGGATAGCGTTGCTATGGGGAGTCCGTTAGAACCTTTTTTAGCGGAAGTTTATCTGTCTTATGTTGAGAACTTGTCCCTTGATTTAATTTATAAATTGCCCTTCTATAGGAGATATGTAGATGATATCACTTTGATATGTGACGATCATGAAGATGCGAGTCGTCTATTGAACAGACTTAACTCTGTACACAATCACATAAGTCTTACATGCGAGGAAGAAAGTCGCAACCAACTTGCATTTTTAGACATACTTCTGAGTCAAAGAGATGATGGTTCAATAAGACGATCAATCTACAGAAAGCCCACTTGGACAGGGCAGTACCTTAATTTTCACAGTTTCTGTCCATTACAGTATAAGAGAGGCTTGGTGAAATGTCTATTTAAGAGGATTCAACGTATTTGTACAGCTGATGTTATAGACAAAGAAAATGAAATATTGGTGGATACTCTTGTTGAAAACGGATATCCTTTAAAATTTTTAAAGAGGTGTAGAATTCAATTAGTCTCTAAACCTAAAATCCTGACCGCCCCTAAGAAAAATGTTTTCATCAAATTACCATATAACGGGGAAGTAAACAGTAGGATTTTGAAACAAAGGTTGAATTCGATCATCCTTAGAACCTATTATGCAGCCTAGCTTGTAACTGTCCAAAATGCTGTAAATATGCTCCACTACAAACCTCAAAAGTGCACAAGTGATTATGTCACATCCCACACTATTTACCAGTTTTCGTGTGTGTGTGTGTGGTCACACATACATAAGGAAGAGTAATCGTGCTTTGCACATGAGGGTGGGAGAGCATATCCCAAAATGGTTAGAAAAACAAATGAATTGTGAAAAGCCAATAGATGCAGGTGTCAGACTACCAACTTCGTCTATTTTATGGTGTGACCCTTTCTGTCGTTTAATTATAACTTTGCTATTTTTATTTTAGTTGTTATTACTATTATTACTATAATTTCATACTTTATGCATATTTTTCTCCGTGTTGCTTACAGTAATTTGCTAAATAGCTGCTATAAAAACGTTTTGTTATCATTATTATGTAATGATTATTTCTTTTATTTTTTTTAAATCGTTTTTGAGTAAATCAAATGCAATATTGTACTGAATGCTGAAAATTCCTTGCTGTATCATTGGTACTGTTTTTGGAATAAAGCAAATTATTATTATTATTATTATGGCTAAAAATTTAATGGAGATGAACCAAAAGGTTGATGTCAACTCAGCCTTTAAGGTCATCTATAAAAATGGTCAAGGGCGATTATTGAAATACGCTGAGGCTATAGCTATTCATAAACTTAACCCCCCCCCACAGTGTATTCAAAGACAGTTTATTATTACTCTTAACCTACCTTGGTAATCCTTATTTGATTGGATAACCGAACGTTGTGTTAATCATTCTTAAATCCTTTTTTTATTTGTCGCTTTGTTTAATTTAACATTTTCATATATATATCGACTTGATAAGTAAATGTGTGATCAGATTGTTCGAAATGTATAGCGCAAATACATCACATACTATTATTCAGATAATCTCCATCTTCTAATAACGCTATCCAAATTTATAAAAGGGACTAATTGTATTTTAAAAAAACTAACGAATTATATACAATAGAAGAGTAGGAATATTCATAGATCTCTGATTATCATTTAATTTTGATAGTTACATGAACCTTTTTGCAATTCTTCCTATTAATAAACTTGAACAACCTTACTCCACTATCAGATGGTTTCTCAGTTGTATTTAAAATCAAGTGTTAGGGCTATTGGGACCTGCGTTTAGGTTAAGTTATTTTGTGGAATAAAGAAGTTTTGGTTGAAAGAAGTTCTCGTGTCATTCTGTGCATACATACATTATCAGTGTTACATATTCGTAAAACATCAAATAAGAGAACAATACAACCTGAACATCCATATTCTGAGTTACAAATATTTCTGACCAATTAGAATCTCCTGTCTTACTTCAGTGTTTTCTAACAGATCTACTGGTGACATTATATATGTGTAAAACTTGGTCACTGTGGTAGTAAGTAATTCCATATTAGTTTGTTTATTAGATGTATCACACAGTGAAACAGTATTATTTACTGGATGACAATGTTTCGAACAAAATTTATTGTTCATAATCATATCAATTGTGATCACATGACTTTGACACTTGAGTTTTATAGTTTTCTTTGTTCTCTCCTATTTGTCGTTGTTGGGGTAGTAGAATTTTCCAGATATCGGGGACAGGTGATGAATCATTCCTATTACATGTATTTGCAGTTGATTCGATAAACAAAGCTTCTGTTATCAATCTCTCCCTATACCCTGTGACATTAGATTTTAAAACTGTCATCCTATCCCATCCTATTGTATGGTTGTGTGTGACTGCATGTAATGCTATAGCTGAACTATTCTCTAGATTTCTTATCTTATTCGGGTCAACCAATCTAGATTTTGCTAAGTTTTTATGCTCAGCTAGTCTGACTGTCCCTGTTCTACTAGTTTGACCTATGTATTTGACCTGACAATCATTGTAGGCAGGGTATTAGATAAACTAAATTGTTTTGTTTTAAAGGCTCCACAGGATTGATCGTCTAACCGACAAAGCTTGTTTCTAATTGAGTTTGTAGTTGGTTTGAATGCTGTTTTTATCCCTGCCTTGTTAAGAATTCTGCGTAAGGCTTCCGAGGTTCCTTCTTTGTATGGAATTACTACTGATGATTTAGATTCCTTATTGTTGGTGTCGTCATTAATATTATTATTATTATCACTATTATCATTATCATTACTATTGTTATTATCACTATCGCTACTATCATTATTTATTTTATTTTTACATTTCCCTACATATTTCCTGACTAATTTATCCGGGTAATTATTAAGTTTCAAGGCTTCTTTTATGTGTATCAGTTCTTGTTTTAGATTTTCTTTGGTACTACTTAATTTTTGTGCTCTATCATTTAAACATTTCACCAATCCTATTTTTACTGACATATGATGGGATGACTGGAAGTCCAAATATCTGTTTGAATGTGTGGGTTTCCTGTTAACACACACTAGTGTTTAACTTCCCATCTTCTTTCCTCTTTACGTTGCAATCTAACATTGGCAGCTCCCCTTCCTGATTTTCCAATTCATAAGTGAATTGAATTGCTTCAACCTTCGAGTTGATATGTTCGAAAAACCTATCTATATCTTGTGTTCTAAGTACAGTGAATGTATCATCTACATACCTCCACCATACTTTTCGGGTGGGGATGAACGTTTTAATCGCTATGCTTTCCCGCTTATCCATGAATATATCTGCTACCACTGGTGACATTAGAGTAAAGAAGTCGGAAGAACTATTCGTTTGTAAAAAAATTCTATTCGCTAAGAGTATAAAAAATGATAGTTAGTCTCATAGAACTCCTGAATTCTTAGAGCAATACACAAGAATTACAGATTATTAGATACACTACTACTACTCAAGTACTACGGCGTACTCCAAATATTCATCAACCTTATCCAACATCTGTACAACAACGACACTTGTCAAGTGATCAACAACGAAAAACTCAATGAGGCGTTTGGAGTAAACACAGGAGTCAGACAAGGGTGCTTATTATAACCAACGATGGTATTCCTGATTGTGGTGGACTGGATTATGCGTCAGACAGTGGGAAACGAGAAGACAGGGATATCCTGGACTGACGTGAAGAACCTAGAAGACCTGGATTTCAAATGTGGATGATTTATGTTTGATGTCACACAAGATCGAAGACTTACAAGCGAAAACTGACAAACTGGTCGAAGAAGCAGCAAACACAGGACTCCAGGTGAACATAGACAAGACGGAGGTTATGAAAATAACCAACCAACAACAACAACAGCAGCAGCAACATACAGCGCCAATCACCATCAATGGGAGGGATTTGAAACAGGTTACTTCATTCACTTATCTAGGGAGCATTGTATCAACTACAGGAGGAACGGACGAAGATGTCAAATCAAGCGAGAATCGGGAAGGCGAGAAACACATTCATCAACCTGGAACAACCAATCTGGAAATCTCCCAATGTCACTCAGCCTGCATCAACAACAAAATTCGGATTTTCAATACAAACGTCGAGTCAGTCAGTTCTTCTATACGGATCAGAAACTTGGCGGTGGGTCACAAAGAATATCTCCAACAGCCTGTTCCAGACCTTTATCAACAGCTGTCTTCGTTCTGTACTCAAGATCAGATGGCCGGAAAGAATCACCAACAAGAAACTATGGGAACAAACAAAACAAGAAGCAATCGCCAAACAACAAATATGCAGGAGAAAGTGGAGATGGATTGGACATTCGCTGAGGAGGTCGCTGGGTGACATCGTGCGTCAGGCCAGTGCTCGAGTGGAACCCGAAAAGGAAGCGGCGAGTGGGATGTCTAAGGAGGGTGACATGGAGGAGATCGTGTGAAGAGGACTTGAAACAGTATGGACTAACATGGATGGAAGTGAAAAATACAGCACAAGACAGAAGCAAGTGGAGGTGTGCAGTTGAAGCCCTATGTTCCACTGGGAACCTAATGGAACAATAACAATAAGAGATACACCTGTCATGTGTGCATACTCTGTATAAAGCTTGTGTGACTCAGGATTGATAATGAGCTGACACCAGTCAAAGAGTACTGGATAGTTATATCGCCTTGACCTGGAAATCTTCAGCTGTCCGAACTCAGGACCTTCTGGTTGCGAGGTGAGCTCATAGACCATCAAGCCACTAGGGGCTGGCCCAGTAGTTGATGAATTCCAACTTCTGCTAATTCATGATGTATATTTAGCGCAACTGCTAGCCAATGTCACAGGCAAGTTACTGTCTGCGTGCCTGACTTGGTCGACCCCGCTGGTTACGACTTTCCACTAGAACCCCAGTCACTTCTTGTGAAGGGCCAGTCGCTAGTGAACATCAGATTAATTATTAAGTGTTTGTTTGCAGAGATCTGATTGGCTACAGGATTGGTCAACAGCTGACACCAGTTAGAGAACCATTGGAAAATCGATGGGAGGAGCGTACTGTTGAAGAGTCTCAAACTAGGACAAGACAGGTGTTAAGTAAACATTGTCACATGTATCACCAGGCGACAATGGTTGTATTTACTGAAATTTTAAAAAATCTTTTATTCTTCAGATCAAGTTATTTTTTGGTAAAACTATCCGTTTAAAGTGGCTATTCATTGAAACATTTCTTGCTGTTCATTATTTAAAACTCTTGACATTTCTGAGCAGAAAAATGGTTTCATTTTGATGTTGTATTTTATTCAGGCCTATGTTTATACGGATAGCTGTTCAAAGTCTGGCTATGAATTGATGTCGGTAAGAGAACCATTGGAAACCAGCATGGAGTACTGCATAGCTGTTTCGTCTCATTTTGGGACTCACCAGCAGTACACACCCACCACAAGGATTTCAAACCCAGGATCTGCCGGTTACGAGGGAAGTTTGTAGACCATTGAATTGTCTACGAGCTTGAATTATAACCGGAAGGTCCCGGTTTCGAACCCCCGTGGTGGGTGTGTGCTGACGGGGAGTCCCAAACTAGGACGAAACAGCCATACAGTATTCCATGCTGATTTTCAGTGGTTCTCTAACTGAAATCAATCTGTGGTCGAACTCGTGGAAACAAATCAAATCCTTACAAACTAATTCTTGAAAAATAGTTGGATCATAGGAGGTAAACACTCAAAATGTAGTGGTTACATATTGATATTGTAGCTCAACATGTTTACAAAGAGGTTTTAGTTTGTGTTTAGTTATCGTCATAGAAATGAATTCCCAAATCGCAACACACATCACTGTAAACGAAAGAAAGTACACAGTTTACAAAAAACTTACGCTGGATCCACTGGAAATCTTGGGACTTCAATTCTTTTCGGAATATGGGTTATTAAACTGAAATTTAAGTATACGAAGATAGACATCCTTTATGTTGTATGTACAAGGAAATATAAAGCATAGTGGTAAAATATTAATTGCATCTTCTGTAATTAGACACTTATTTTCATTCCTTCATGTTCCCAGTGGAACATAGAGCACTCTCAAGCTAGAGGCTTGAAGTTTCTGTAGCAGTGGTGTTTCTTTTTTACGAGATGTGGTTGCTAGCCTCAGGCTCAACCTTTCATCTGTACCAGTCTTATTAATGGCTTAACGAGGTAAAGGAGTGCGTCTGTGGTTGATACATTTTGTCAATCTTGATGTGTCTATTGATTGATGATTCACTGGAATGCCAAGCTTCGAAAAATTCTCTAGCATTTTTCTTGTTAGAGAAAGAAACCTCACACACAAAGGGTTAAAGTTCAAGTCAAAGAAACAGTCAGTCCCAATACAAGTAACCTAGAAGGTGTGAAAACACACAAAAACAACCAATCACGTCCAAGGTCACCCATCAGGAGAGATGATTAATAAACTCGTGGAGAAATCTAAAAGCTCACTTCACTTCAAGTTGAAGTATGCATGCTGAAGATGTCGCCTAGTAGGGTGATGAAAGCTTCGCAAATTAACTACTATCCAGCTCAGAGAACGCGACCACATCGAAAAATTACTGTCACTATTTATAGGATTGTGTAAGAGTCGGATAAATAAATCCTTCTCCTTGACATGATCGATGACATCTTGTCTTGTAGACTGAAAATTCTTTACTTCTACTCAACTTTCCTCTCTCTACCGGTTTCCTACTTACTATTCAGTGAGCTTTAGTAGTGCGTCGACCGTGGAATGAATCCTCGTAGTTGGTAAGCATCTGACCACTGGACCACAAATACACACAGTTTATTTTTACCATTACTACTAACTACAAAATACTTCATAAAGTACGCTTTACATAGAAATCTATGATGTTCTAACGTGAGGACATCGTGCCTGGTAAACTGAAGTGATTTAAGTAACGGGTGACACTTTAGCTTTGTTTTTCCTTTCTAATGCATTACAAGTGTGGCGTCTGACGCTGACAAGATCTATAAGTAGTATATAAAGAAACGTTCATCGGTATAAAAACATTAAATGGCGGAGAGATAAATTTGACGTCAAAGAAAGGAAATGAACCACTATTGCGACAAAGAATGAGGGACACAAAAAGAAGATAAAGAAACACAATACGAAGGACAGAAGTTGCACAACTTGAGTATTTTTATGCAACTGATTATTTTAATATAAGGTATACATAATTCCCCCTACATGTGTATGTCAAATTGCAAATAAATATTCCTTTACCAAGTCTGTTGCCTTCCACCATTATATTTCCTAACTGACATATTCTCAAGTATCGGTTTGTAGGGTTTTTTTGATTGATTGGTTGGAGGATTTCATCATGAGCTCACATTGGTTAGAGAACCTTTGGAAAACCTGAGAGTGCTCAACAGCTGTTTCGTCCTAATACTCGTGAATCTTCATCAGTACACACCCACACTGGGGTTCTAGTGAGAAGCCGTGACCAGTAGGATGCATCGAAGACATTACAATGTGGTCTTGAACTGGCATGGGCGATTGAATCTGGTCCCAGTGTGGCTTGATCGTCTACTAGCTCGCACTGCAACCATCAGGTCCTGGGTTCGAAATCCGCGATGTGGGTGCGCACTGTGAAGAGTCCCAAACTGGGATGAAACAGCAGTCCAGTACCCTTTAGTTTTCAAAGATTCTTTAATTGATATTATCTTGTAAAAAATCCATATTGAAATAAGTCCAAATTCCAATGAAATCCATAATCTGAATTGCTCAACTGCTTTGTTCTTTGAATAAACAATTTTACAAACTTTGAAAATCTACTACTCATTAGTATTCTCAAATTTGGGTTTCGTTTTGTCCCTGGGTCATGCAGAAATAGCTTTGAATTTCGGAGATCATTATTAAAGGATATATATATATCACACAATATATATACTACTTACAGATATGGATAGATGAAAATTACTTACAGTAATTATAGTTACTTTCTGTCAAAACCTAAATGGTTTTAATAAAGGGAAGTCATTTTGTAACGACAGAGCATAAGGCTCAGTCAACAGATCGTTTATTGAGAAAATAAACAGATCGTTTATAGATTTTAATGTACATTATTATTCGTTACTATTAGCAGAGAAACAGCGTCTTCTGATTGGTTGTTTTCTCGCTGAAAGTTATTCTGTCATCTCTTTGTGGCTATTTCTTTGAAGGTCAGACCATATTATTATTATATATACTATTGTTCCTTTGGGTTCCTAGTGGAACATAGGGCTTCAACTGCACGCCTCTACTTGCTTCTGTCTTCTGCTGTACTTTTCACTTGCATCCATGTTAATCCATCCTCCATGTCACCCTTGGACGTCCCACTCGCCGCTTCATTTTCGGGTTCCACTCGAGCACTGGCCTGACGCGTGATGTCACCCAGCGGCCTCCTCAGCCAGTGAGTGTCCAATCCATCTCCACTTTCTCCTGCATATTTGTTGTTTGGCGATTGGTTCTTGTTCTGTTTTTTCCCATAGTTTCTTGTTGGTGATTCTGTCCGGCCATCTGATCTTCAGTATAGAGCCAGCGAAGACAGTTGTTGATAAAAGTGTGCAACAGGCTGTTGGAAATATTCTTTGTGACCCACCGCCAAGTTTCTGATCCGTATAGAAGAACTGACTGACTCGACGTTTGTATTGAAAATCCGAATTTTGTTGTTGATGCAGGCTGAGTGACATGGGAGATTTCCAGATTGGTTGCAGGTTGATGAATGTGTTTCTCGCCTTCCCGATTCTCGCTTGATTTGACATCTTCGTCCGTTCCTCCTGTAGTTGATACAATGCTCCCTAGATAAGTGAATGAAGTAACCTGTTTCAAATCCCTCCCATTGATGGTGATTGGCGCTGTATGTTGCTGCTGCTGTTGTTGTTGTTGGTTGGTTATTTTCATAACCTCCGTCTTGTCTATGTTCACCTGGAGTCCTGTGTTTGCTGCTTCTTCGACCAGTTTGTCAGTTTTCGCTTGTAAGTCTTCGATCTTGTGTGACATCAAACATAAATCATCCACATTTGAAATCCAGGTCTTCTAGGTTCTTCACGTCAGTCCAGGATATCCCTGTCTTCTCGTTTCCCACTGTCTGACGCATAATCCAGTCCACCACAATTAGGAATATCATTGGTGATAATAAGCACCCTTGTCTGACTCCTGTGTTTACTCCAAACGCTTCGCTGAGTTTTCCGTTGTGGATGGCACTTGACATGTGCCGTTGTCGTAGAGCTGTTGGATAAGGTTGGTGAATATTTGGGATACGCCGTAGTACTCGAGTAGTTTCCAAGTTACTTCGCGGTCAACGCTGTCGAAGGCCTTCTCAAAGTCTATAAAGTTGAGGTAGAGATTTGATTGCCATTTCATGCTTTGTTCTGTGATGATGATGCGTAGAGTTGCAATTTGGACAGAACATGATTTGCCTTTCCTGAATCCAGCTTGTTCTGGTTGGAGTTCTGTATCCAGTGTGTCGTCGATTCTCTCCAGGATGATGTGACTCAGGATTTTACTTGGCGTCGACAGGAGCATGATTCCTCGCCAGTTCTTGCAGAGTCCTAGGTCGCCCTTCTTTGATAGTTTCACCAGGTAACCTTTCCTCCAGTCAGTAGGCACCTTTCCCTCTTTCCAGATCTTTTGCAATAATGGAGTCAGCATATCTGCTGTCGTCTCTGGGTTCGCCTTCAGTGCTTCCGGGGGTATTCCATCTGGTCCAGCTGCTTTTCCAGCTTTCAGGAGCTTGATTGCATTCAAGGCTTCAGCTTTCTTTGGAGGATTGATGTCAACTTGCAGTTGTGTACGTGCTGTTGTTGGTATTTCTGAACGGGTTGCAGGTGGTGGTCGGTTCAAGAGTCCTTTGAAGTGTTACACCCATTGTTTAATCTGTCTTTCTTCTTTGGTAATTGGGTTCCTTGGTTGTCTTTTATAGGTTTCACTTGTGTTGATCTCTTCCCGGATAGAGACTTGGTTATCTGATATAGTGTCCTCAGGTCCCTTTTGCCTGCTGCCTTCTCAGCTTCAGTAGCCAGATTGTCGTAGAATTATCTTTTGTCCTTCCTGGCACTCTTCTTCACTTCTTTGTCCAGTGCTGTGTAAGTTGAGTTCAGCGTCTCTTTCTCTTGTCCATCTTTGCATTGAATCATTTTCTCTTTCACCATTCCCCTCTCCTCTATTAGCTTCCAAGTTTCCGTTGAGAGCCATTCCTTGTCTTGTTTCTTCTTTCTTCCTAAAACCGTTGAACACGTTTCGTTGAAAATTACCTTCAGAGAGTTCCAATGGTTTTCCACGGATGATTCCTCAGTGATGTCACGTAGTGTTTCCTGCTTTGCTCTGACAGTTGAAGTGAAAGTGTCCTTTGTGGTTGTGTCCTTCAGTTTTTGAGTGTTGAACTTGCATTGTGGCCTATCCCCAGATATCCTCGAGGCTTTTAGCTTCACCTTGAAAGTCCCTTGTACTAGATAGTGGTCTGAACCCACATCTGCTCCTCTCCTCGATCTTGTGTCCAGTAGGCTCCGTCTCCACTTCCTTGAGATTGAAATGAAGTCTATCTGGTTTTTGGTGTGTCCATCTGGTGAAATCCATGTTGCCTTGTGTATATCCCTGTGTTTGAACACACTGCCACCAATCACCAAATGATTGAATGCGCAGAAGTCTGAGAAGAGTTCACCATTTTCGTTCATTTCACCGAGGGCCTCACGACCCATGGTGAGTTCTCTTCCTGTATTGTCTCCTCCCAGTTTCGCATTCATATCACCCATCAGGATTTTGATATCGCTCTTTGGGACGTTGTCCATTACTGTTTGTAGTTGTCTGTAGAAATCCTCCTTCTTCTCATGTTCTGAGACGTTTGTAGGTGCGTAGCATTGAATGATTGTAACCTTTTTTCCTTTTGAGTTGAACCTGGCTGGCATTATCCTGGAGGAGATTGGTTCCCACTGCATGAGAGCTTTAGCCGCTGTTGGTGACATCATGATGGCTACTCCCTCGGTGTGCTCGTGATTGTCCTCTGGGTGACCGGAGTAGATTATTGTCTCTCCAGTTGATAGTTGGCTCCTTCCACATCCGTTCCATCTACTCTCACAGATTCCCAACACTTCTATTTTATATCTCCTCATTTCAGCGGCTACCTGAGCAGCCTTCCCAGCTTCGTACATTGTACGAACATTCCACGTCCCCATCCTTATTTTCGCTTTCATCGAAAGAAGGCACATCGGCTGACTGGCTTCCCGAAGGCTTTCACCAGCCCGCGTCATTTCACTTCCCCGATTCCAGCGAGAAATAAGGTCACTATTTATAATTTTAGAATTTTGAATATATTTGTGCGTTGAAGTTTTAGTAGCAATTTGGTTAAGTTTTGGGGGTGGAGTTGCTAGCACCACGCCCCAACCCTCCCTATTTATCCGGGCTTGGGACCGGCTAGAATACTAGTGACCTAGTAATCTAAGCGAGGTTCTCGCTGAAAGTTATTCTGTCATCTCTTTGTGGCTATTCCTTTGAAGGTCAGACCATATATGTATCTGCGAATCGTATGCGCCCACGTAAAGTCTTCTGTGATTGGTTGTTGAGTTAGTCTTTGTTCTTCTTTTTTTTTCTCATGACCAAGATATGAGACGTAAACATTGACGTAAATTGCTGTCTAACAATTTCGGCTAGCAGACAGTTCTCACCACAGTTTTACTGTCTTGATGCCCACTAATAAATTAGTATTGTACTATACTAAAGACTATTCCGACAATGGCTTAATTGAAACTAATAGACAAGTCGGATTGGCTAATGGTATTTAGAATCAAATGGCTTGAATAATTTAAATTTTTGTGATAGATAAATTTAATGAAAACAAAACACGTAGATCAGCGGAGAGTCTCTTTTCAGCGAATTCATCTTCTTAGCTGTACAATCGCAAATATATATGCATTGTTTTAGTATGTATGTGTACATTAAGTTTGTCAAGCAAAGTTACAATCGGTTAAGGTTAATTTTAACTAAACAAGTGAAGGTTGGTAATACAGGTCAGGAAAATTAAGTGTTAGTGAAACTAGGGTAGTAACAAAGGTGATGAGTTGTCACAAACAGTTGTTAAAAGAAGTTATGCAATAATAATATGAATATTTTGATGAGTGAGTTTTACTCAGGATGCACATAGAAACAAAGTAGATAATACGAAACTATGTAAGAGATCTAAGTGAATACAAGAATTATAAGCAACTAAGGAACAGGCAAAGAAACAAAATTAAGTTATCAAAATAAAATAAAAATAAAAACTCAAAAAAAAAATCAAAACATTGTTACCATGAGAGTTGAAGTGGTTGAGTAATCTTCTTTTGTATGCACAGCTCCGGTTTTTCCATGTGAATGGCTAGAGCTTCAGCAATACAAAGGAGACGAAACCGTATTGCCTTTGACATGTTGTTCTTGACTCGGTAGATTACTCTGAAGGAGGCGTTCGTTGAAATGCAATGATCAGTGCTGACCCTAGTTTCACTAACACTTAATTTTCTTGACCTGTATTACCAACCTTCACTTGTTTAGTTAAAATTAACCTTAACCGATTGTAACTTTGCTTGACAAACTTAATGTACACATACATACTAAAACAATGCATATATATTTGCGATTGTACAGCTAAAGAAGATGAATTCGCCGAAAAGAGACTCTTCGCTGATCTACGTGTTTTGTTTTCATTAATGCCTGGATGGGGATTATCCATGAATAGATAAATTTCGCATATGCCTTTAATAATTGATGCCTATCTCATCTCAGATGAAGGAATTAGTGGTATCATCTGAAAATAGTCAAGCGACTTAAAATCGCTGCATAATTAAACCTGAATTAGTAGTATTCGATGATTGGTAGGTAATGTTAGACAGGCTAATTACAATATGAATACAATATACCCTATGGTACCACATTTAGTGGACACTGACAGATAGATATGTGTTAGAGAACCACTGGAAAACCTGGGAGTACTGGACAGCTGTTTCGTCCTAGTTTGGGACTCTTCGGCAGTACGCACCCACCGGGATTCGAAACCAGGACCTTCTGGTTACAAGGCGAGCTCGTAGACCATTGAGCCACTGGGACCCGATCCAATGGTCCTTGAATTCTAACTTCTGCCAATTCACGACATAGCGCGACCATTTCGCAATGTCTTCTTAGATGAGTTACTGTCACATCTTCAACCTGCTGTACCCTACTGGTCACGTACTGCTGAAGAGTCCCAAACTAGGACGAAACAGCTGTCCAGTACTCCCAGGTTTTCCAGTGGTTCTCTAACTGATGTCAGCTCATGATGAAATCCTCCATACAATTAAACAAAATCCCTACCAAACCAATACTTGAAGATAGATATCTCTCAGAATTCCTGAGAGATATACCATGACTTTTACGCATTTGTAGGAATTAGCCGTTGAATGTTAATCAATCACACGCTGACGATGAAATCTTAAACGTTAACCTTAAACAGTCCAGCGACTAAATCATGTCGTGACATTCTTCAATAACATTTACAACCATGAAATTGAAGTTCAAGGCTAACAAACGACTGTTGTTGTTATTATTAATTTCAGGTAAATAATAATTTGCTTTATTCCAAAACAGTACTTGTGATACAGAATGGAATTCTCAGCATTTTTACTACAGTATTGCATCCAGTTTGTACATTATCAATAAATAGAATTCTACATAGATTGAGGAAACCACATTCCATTGGCATGTGAGTAGCACAGGTAAAGCTGAAATAGTGTTTGAAGTTGTTAGAAAAGTAGGAGCTGTCTTATTAACTGGCGTAAGCGAGAGAAAGAGACAAAGCAGCACATAACGGAAAGAGAAGGGAGAGAAAAGGAAAAGAAAGAAAGAAAATGTTGTACCTATTGATGATGTGGGTTGGAAAGACGAGATCCAGTTGTACTACTGACTATTTAATGAATTATAGGTGTCACGCCTAATGCTTTCTTTATCGCACAGAACACGAGCTAAGTAGGGTATGGTTGAGTTTTTGTACTTGCTGGTGCGAGCATATAGTTTTCTATATTGGCTTCTGGTTTTGCCTGATGAGATGCAAGGGGAGAGTTGTGAGTGAAGAGAGTGATGTGAGTTAGATCAAATGGATTTGGCCCATTTTTCACATGAGTCCATGTGCCTGTCGACCAGTATATTAACCAGCTGGTTAAGTCGCACGTTGCTTACCCTGCTGACAACCTTTAACATCCTGCGTAATATGTTATAGTCTTTCTTCAGTAGCCCAGGAAAAACTAAGGGGGAACAATAGAGAATAATAGGCAGAATGCGAGAATTAACGAATTGTAGGAGTAAGGGTTGGGTTATACCAGAATGTTTCAACTTCTTGATGTAGAAGGTAAGACGGAATATTTACTTAGAAATCGCTAAGATATGAGACGACCAGGAGAGATCACCAGATAGAATGACGCCTAGGTATTTAATTTCCGACTTGGTTTCTATTTCAGTGCCATCTATGTTTCACACCTCGTTAGAGCCAACCAGTTTGTTTAGGTCGGATTTATGCCTAAAGGTGAAATTGACCGTTTGGCATTTGGAAGGGTTTACGGTAAGACCATTTTCCTTGGACCACTGGCTGATTTCTGACAGAAAGCCATTAAGTTTAGAGCAGTCGCTTTCACATTTGATAGGCAAAGATACAGACACATCGTCAGCGTATTTGACAAAATTAATGTCATTTGAAGATGGCAAGTCATGTAGAAAGAAAGAAAACAGAAGTGGGGAGAGTACAGCGCCTTGGGGGACTCCGGCTTCAGTGAGTACAGCAGAGGATGATTTACCTTTGTATACAAGTATATGATATTGAATTACAAGTATATGATATTGAATCTCATAATTGTCTAGTGTCCTTCTTTCTGAATTAAAATGATACTAAATAAGCCGATTCATACTTTGAAAAACAAAAAATTTACCCAAATTGAACTTTTGGCACTGCTGAGTCAATCTTGAAGAAATTTGGCGAATATTCTACAGCACCATAGGATTTATCACCTGGTTTCATTGGATTTACGATACCATTAGTCTGGTCAATATCATCACCTTCATATTAAACGGCAAATATAATCAAGAAAAGAGTGAAAATGTTTTCATTTTTATGGACTTGTTAGTAATTTTATATTTATGAGACAAATATTTACTTATTGTTATTTTGTTCCTTTGCATTCTCAGTGGAACAGACAACTCTAAGCTAGAGCTTTGAAACCTCAGTAGCAGTTGTTATATTAGTTTTGTGTGTGTGTGTGTGTGTGGAGAAGGTGAGGATTGCTGGCCTCATGCCCAAACTTCTTTCTTTATTGGCCTTGTATACCTCTAAGCCACTGGGACTTGCTGAAAAAAAATTCAAATTGCAAATCGAAAGAGTGTGTTGATGTGATGCTGGACCTATTTAATAAAGCTAGGAGATGTTAGTTGACTTACGATTAGATTGAAAATCCCCATTGAGTCATATGAAAAAGAGAAGACATTCAGCGAAGAGACTCATTTCGCCCGGCGAATTCATTCACATAGCTGTACAATCCCATTTATATATAAATATTTGTGTGTGTGTGTACATGAGGTTTGTCAAGTTTAGATAATTGATTAGTTAATACAAGAATGATGTAGTATAGAGACAAAGTTAATCAGACAGCAACTAAAGTAAGATTGAGTTAAAAAGCTAGATGACGTAATATAATTGGCTAAAATGTTACAACTTAGGTCAGGATAGCAACAGAGGTAATTACAGGTAGAGATTAAGTAGAAGTGAAATTGAGTGAATCAGTTGGATGACGTAACATGAATGACTAGAAACTGAGCGTTGTTCAAGTCAGTAACAGTGGTAGTGAGGTGTAGAAATTGAATCGGGTGGGGGTAGAGAACAAGAAAGTTGAAAATGTAAAATGTTACAATTGAGAAGACAAAATAATACTAATGAAGAGACAGAAGAAAAGATTAGGTAGAATTTACATGTCGGCTAATAAGATAGATTACGTCCATTGTAAGTGTAGTGATTGAACGAACTTCTTCTGTATGCAGAGTTCAGGACTTAGCAAGTGAATCGCCATTGCTTCTGCAGTTTGAAGAAGTCTGATTCGTACACCTTTAGGGAGACTACTTCTTACTCTGTAGACGACTTTGAAGTTCGTTTGCGGTGTAGCTTGGTGTCCGGATTCTAACAGATGTTCTAGGATGGAACTTCGGGGGCATCGATTTTCTCCTTTGTAAAACCATGTTGGTAAGTGCTCGCCAATTATATTACGTCATCTAGCTTTTTAACTCAATCTTACTTTAGTTGCTGTCTGATTAACTTTGTCTCCATACTACATCATTCTTGTATTAACTAATCAATTATCTAAACTTGACAAACCTCATGTACACACACACACAAATATTTATATATAAATGGGATTGTACAGCTATGTGAATGAATTCGCCGGGCGAAATGAGTCTCTTCGCTGAATGTCTTCTCTTTTTCATATGACTTACGATTAGGTTAGAAGTGGTCAGACCTAAACATGACATCACTGAAGATTTCGACTACTATTTTTGAACCAAGTAAGGATAGATGCAGACTGTTTTGGTTGGGGTCGTTGAGATGCTAAGAACCTGTGAATAAAAAACTTCTGATTGTATGGTTGAAAATAACTATCATTAGACTGGATGCATTCACTCCATGTGGTCTTTGAAATTTACTCAATTCTCAATTTTGTTCATATAGTTATTATTTCTCAGTCACAGAGATAGATATATAAGCTGGAAGAAGAGTTTTCAGAAGACTAAAAATATACCTTCCTGATAAATATCAACGAGAAGGAGACTCCGTACTTACACAGTTAATGTAGTATTAACATACATGAATAAAAATAGTATACCGATTTTGTATCATTTTGTCTGCTGATCATAACCCATACATGAATACATTGAGTCCAAGACACTGATATCGACTGCTACTCAAATAATCAATTTCCACGCACTACTCAGCCACTTATCCAGATGGAGAGAATTAATCGTATCCTGAACGGCTTGCTCATAAAGGTTTGGATCTCACAGCAAATATCATTCTCCGGCAACAGGAACAGATAACCTGTTGACTATCTGTCGATCAAATCTTATATCCTTATATTATTATTATTATTATATCCTTTAATTCCTACAGGAACATAGGGCTTCAGCCACAAGTCTCCATTGCGTTCGGTTCTCTGCTAGAGTCTTCACCTGGCTCCAAGTCTGTCCACACGTTTTCATCTCCTCTTCACATGACCTCCTCCAAGCCACCCACCTTCGCACTGACGACCAACTCGCCGTTTCCCTTTCGGGTTCCACTCGAGCAATGGCTTGTCTAGTGATGTCACTTGATGGATTGTTTCCTCAGAGTGTGGCCAGCCAATCCATCTCCATTTCTTCCTGCTTATTTGTTTCACAATCGGTTCCTGATTGATTCGCTCATTGCCAGAGGTCCCTGTTGCTGATCTTTTCTGGTCGACCATCTGATCTTGAGTATTGAGCGAAGACAACTGTTAATGAAGGTGTGTAGTTTGTTTGAGATGCTCTTTATGACGCGCAGTGCTAGTCTCTGATCCGTATAGTGAGTAGAACTGACTTCACATTGGAGTTGAAAATCCGGATCTTATTTTCATTTTCATGCTGAGTGTTGTTGACCTCAACACAGACTTGAGAGTAGTGAAAGCTTGTCTTGCTTTTCCGATCCTTGCTTTGATATCCTCGTCAGTTCCGTTCGCCTGTAGTTGAGACGATGCTTCCCAGGTAGGTAAAAGAGGTAGTTTCTTTCAGGTTCCTCCTATTTATGCTGATTGTTGTCAGTTGTTGTTGTTGCTGTTGGTGGTGTTGCCCAGGAATTTTCATCACCTCTGTTTTATCTATGTTCACCTGAAATCCTATCTTTGATGCTTCTTTTGCTAACTTGTTCTGCTAACTATCCTTATATAACAAAGAAGAAATTATCTTTCACTCTGTTGAATATTAAGTTGAACGAAGACGTTTGTAAAAATATGAAATAAGCTCAATATGAATAAATAGACCCACATTTCTTTGCTTTGAAATGCTAAAGATTATGTTTGTTGGTGTCTACTACGTTTGTGTTGCGTAATCCTCCAGATGTATGTTTGATGGCACACAAAATCGAAGACTTACAAGCGAAAACCGACAAACTTGTCGAAGAAGCACCAAAGACAGGACTCCAGGTGAACATAGACAAAACGGAGGTTATGAAAATAACCAACCAACAACAACAAAAGCAGCAGCAACATACAGCGCCAATCACCATCAACGGGAGGGATTTGAAAGAGGTTACTTCATTCACTCACTGATCTAGGGAGCATTGTCTCAACTACAGGAGGAACGGACGAAGATGTCAAATCAAGCGAGAATCGGGAAGGCGAGAAACACATTCATCAACCTGAAACAACCAATCTGGAAATCTTCCACTGTCACTCAGCATCAATAACAAAATTCGGATTTTCAATACACATGTCAAGTCAGTCAGTTCTTCTCTACCGATGAGAAACTTGGCGGCGGGTCACAAAGAATATCTCCAACAGCCTGCTGCAGACCTTTATCAACAACAGCTGTCTTCATTCTACACTCAAGATCAGATGGCCGGAAAGAATCACCAACAAGAAACTATGGGAACAAACAAAACAAGAAGCAATCGCCAAACAACAAATATGCAGGAGAAAGTGGAGATGGATTGGACACTCGCTGAGGAGGCCGTTGGGTGTGATCGCGCGTCAGGTCAGCGCTCGAGTGGAACCCGAAAGGGAAGAGGCGAGTGGGACGTCCAAGGGTGACATGGAGGAGATCGTGTGATGAGGAACTGAAACAGTATAGATTAACATGGATGGAAGTGAAAAATACAGCAGGAGATAGAAGCAAGTGGAGACGTGCAGTTGAAGCCCTATGTTCCACTAGGAACCCAAGGGAACAACAACAACAATCCTCCAGATGATGATATCATAACTGAACTACAGGTTAGTTTATAACAAAACATATATATATATGCTAATAGTTAACATACCCCTTCTTTTGTGTGTGAAACGACAATTAAAGGTATACTCTTTGTCACAATAAGCGCTTCGTTGATGTATTCCATTGAATATACACCGTTTTCCTGTTGAATAACCATTAGGATACATTGACCATTCTGAACTAATTCCATGATAGTTTGATTCTGTTAAAAGAGATGTAATCGATATTCAATTCAATTCAATCTAATCGTAATTAAATAATAACCTGGAAAAGTTCTCAAATGACTGGATAATTCTGGCCATATATTTTCATCATTTCTTGTCTCATCTTTATACGCTTCAATGTGACGCAGTTTTGATGACCAGTCAAGACCATAACTAATTTTTTTTTGTTTTTATTAGATTCTGGGTAAATTTTATTTTAGGAAGGATTATTACTCAGAATACACCGGATCCAATGCTGTACTGTGCGGTTTCCAGTCTAAGTCATCCTTTATACAGTATCCATGAGGTATAATTCTTTTCGATGGAGTAAATTTCACTTCTTCTACACTGCATTTATTATTAATCCCAGTATAATGTCTCATTTAGTTAGTAGTCAACTAGTAGAGTTTATTCTTAAATTTGAAAATACCCGCTCAGTCAATCATTCAATCAATGATTAAGGTCATATCCAATAACAACTAGTTTATGGTTTATTTTTAAGACAATATATATATTTATATATATATAATAGTTATCGAATCCATATAGTACTTTCATAGAGATACAACAGGTTGCTGTACCAAATTTTGTTTAGGAAAAGCGGTTAATGTGAGCTAGGTGTAAAAAGTGTTTCCAGAATAAATTTCTAATTATCCAATATTAAGACGATGAAAAATTTGAATAAATTTCTAAAAAAAAGGAGCAGAAAATGAAAAAAACAAATAAACGAAGAGTCCCAAATAAGAAATAAAGAGCTGGCAGAAGCAACCAGGATCATAAAAGGTAATATAACCAATATCAAGTCAGAATGATAAAAAAAAACAAAGAAAAATTAGTGGAAAAAAAGAATAAATATGCATTAAAGAAATTAGCCAAAGTAGGATTGTAAGAAATAGTTTTGTTGTTACGAGTTGATCACGGATTGATATCAGTGTTAGAGAAGCACTGAAAACCAGCCACACGGAGTACTGGACAGCCAACTGTTTCATCAGCCTAGTTTGGAAATCATCGCCAGTACGCACCCACCACCAGGCTTCGAACTCGCGACCTTCCGGTTACAAGGCGAGTTTGTATACCTTTCAGCCACTGGGACGCCATTCAATGGTCAGCTCATGAATTCCAACTTCTACCGATTCGTAATTCAGCACGACCCCATCCAATGTCATCAGTGGGACATACATCCCCGCACGTGACTTCATTGACCTCACTGCAACTCCACTAAATGCCATCGTGTAACAATTCAATTTCCTGTTTTCTAGTTTCGAGCCGAAGTTGTCATCCAATTTTATGTATCCTGATTTCATCTGATCTTTTCTTTTTTTCATGTGTTTATTCTGATATCATAATCTTTTTATTTAACTTTAATTTTTATGGATTTCATTTGAGCACAGAAACAACGAACATATTCTCTGGTTAGAATGCTTCATTGGATCTATCGTATTCTGTTGCTAATTGCGAACTGAACTGTGGGAATATTTGAGAACAACATTCCATTGGTACGCATTGTCTGTATCACACCACCACAGTATGATGCTGTGCTGCACTGTCTGAAGCTATATGCAAATCTCTACGATATTTTCGCTCTGTATTACAGCAGACGTAGAGTCTGTTCCAGTTCATGTTGAGATTAAAGCAATGAGGAGAAAATGGAGATGAGTTTATGCAGCATTATACCAGATAGAAATTCAGGCAGTCTAGTGATTCAAACAGGCCATCAGACTATTATTATTATCATCATCATCATCGTGATAACTTGAAGTTGCAGTGCGAAGAGATTATGCTCTGACAGCATTTTGTAACTTATAATTTGATTTTATTGAGGAAGTAGGCATTTGAAGTGGATCCACAAAATGCAGACGACCTCGTATTTTCCTGCAAATATTTGTGTTCTTCCTTCATTCAAACTTAAAATAGAGAACCGATTGTATGAATTTTGTAGTCTGAATTTGAGTTGCTCAGTCTCATATCTGATGCAAGCTACTTTCTCAGTATTTCTGTAGATTTCCTCTAAACAGAATCAACCGAGTCGTTTTCCGGTGGCTTTCACCTTTTGCTCAAAATGTCATGCACTTATTCTTACTTCATTATTGTGTAATGGTTGAAATCAACACATCTTATATGTTGTGTGGTGCATAGGAACAAGAGACAAGTGAAGTGGAATAGATCGAAGCCTTGGATAGAGCATCCAAACGAAACCAAGAATAAAGACATCCAGATAGCAGAGTAAAGTATGCTGATAACTACTTCTTTCTAAATTTGCTGTCAGGAGTTCGATGGACACTGGTTTGTCGAAACTGAGGAGAATCGAACCATTTTACGTATTATTGATAATATTAAAAGAAATTCATGACTCCTACCTTATGACTCGAATCAACAAAGTACCTGTCAATGGCCTTATTGGAAGCGTTTGTTCCCTTGAGGTGTAGGCTTTTGGGTATTTGTACCAAGTCAACTTATTACTCACTCATCATCTCATTACCTGACTCTTTTGCCATTATAGCCAAGTCTTTGGTCACTTTGTATATTTTGTGTTAACTTGAACCATGTAGGTATGCAGTGCAGAAGTGTGATTTGTAAAGACTGTTTGTTAAGTTCGGAGTATCCTGTCAACTGATATTATGTTCTATTTGGAAGTATGTTGACATTGTTCTGTTCCCGAATTCAGGTTGCATACAACTGATGAGAAGTCGACGAACCGTTGTACATGCTTTAGTAAAAATATTCTTGTATATGAACAAATATCAGGGGTGACTGAGAGAATTCAAATGTTTTGAGGGTGGTAGGGCTTGTGTGCATATGTGTGCCTACCGTGTCAAACGGCTTTCTTCAAGAAGTACCTCACGAAATAAGCATTACTAAACTTAATAACCAATCATGCAAGTAAATTATTTATGCAAACTATATATCATAAACTGCTCACTACCTAACGGAAATTAGTACTACATTGCCTACATCATTAAAGGGTCACTTACCAAGTAAATAAAATGAAGCGAGAGAAAACCTCCCGTGGTTAACTTCTGAAAGGATAAGCACTGATAAATCTTCTCAATACGACCAGTCAATCAAGTATTTTCCTAATTACTATTTACGCATTTGAGAAAAAACCAACAGATTGAGCTAAGAAATAATTTCCTTTTCAATCATTGGTTCTACAGAAATATGTGGTATTTTACATCAAAAGTGTTGACCAATCAAATGGTTAAAACTTCAGTGCAGAATCCCCTCAATAGTATGGAGAAGATTTGTAGATGACGTGGATGGTTTTGATGTAGTTGTTTTCTTTCATCTGGATGGTTTATTTGGCAATATTTCATTGCCTTACTTGGTAACTTCTTCAGCACTTACTGCTACTTGTTGAAGTGAGCTTTGCAATTTCCCCACGAGTTTATTAGTCACCTCTCCCGGTGAAATTCAATGTGATTGGTTGTCCTTCTCTATTTTCACAGCCTCTAGTCTACTTGTATTCGTATGCATCACCTCTTTCACCTGAAGTTGTCCTTATTATGCATAACATATTTTCATTATGCATAGGTGAAGTTTTTTGAGTACTTGAACTGTATGAGTTGATTTTCTGGAAATTTCAGTTTCTAATTTTCCCATAATTGTCCGCATGACCAAGACGTCCAAATGGTAGGATTCTATCCTCGGATTCCTCTTTTCCTGTAAATTTGATGTCGCTAAAGATGTTGTTTATTAAGCCAAACTTCAGGTCAAGGGAGCAATCAATACGAATAAAAGTAGACTGGAGGATATGAAAACAGACAAAGGTAATCGGTCACGACGTTGAAGGTAGCCAGAAGAGATGACTAGTCAACTCGTGGACAAATTTGAAAGCTCACTTCACGACACTGCTAGACTGCAACTAGCCAGCATCATCATCAGTCAGTGATAGTTCATTACTCCATGAAGGTTTTCCAGTTATTCTCTAACCAATATCAGCTCATCATGAAATCCTCGAACCAGTCCATCAAATCCCTGCAAACTGACACTTGAAAATCATGTTTGATTGTGATTAACCTATGCAAGTACTCTCTAGAATTACCTCTTCTGTGAGGATTAAATTTAGTTATAATATATACTGTTACAGTCTCCAGAATGCTTGTTAAATAATTTACAAATGGGCAACACTATTCCCAGACTTATTGAGCTTAGCCTGGAACAATTATTCTATGGCTTTCGTACTAAAATTATCCGTTTCCTATTTCGTTCTTATGTTCCCCTCCATGTAACACTTACAATATCTTTTCATCGTATTAGTGCTACTTTACTTTGTTGGTTATTGCCAAGATCACAAGGATAGATAGCTCTCCAGATGAAAGTGAATTTGCTACGACACTTCGTCAACGATAAAATGATAATGGGAATTATTACAAAGACAGCAGGAAAGAAGAAAATATTCTTTTCGATTATGTTATCATCCAGATTACCGGCTTAACATTCAAGTGTATTCATAAGAAATTGTTGGGAAAATTCTAAAAGTATTCCTGGTCAAATTTCAAATAAATATACTTACACTGTGCATTGAACAAGAAGATTGTATGGGAAGGCACGGTAGAATGATGAGAAAATTGAATGTTCGTGCAATTTTAGATAAGAAGCACAGTTTACGGAAGATGGTTAGGATGGAAAACATGACAGTGCAGATATGAGATAAAAACGAAAACTGAAGAGAAATAGACGGCAAGATTGGATGTAGAAGACAATGGGATAATCAATAATGATTTCACTGACTTTTCATGATGGCCACAGTGAGTGAGGTCAACGGTAAGACGTATATATTTTGAATACACAGCGTGAGCGTGAACGTTCGAATCGCTAGTGCTTCTCTCAGCTATTCCCAGATGCCTTGATCTCACTGACTCAAAGATAGAGAATTGATCGGAACTTGAATGTGAATTTGAAGGAATTTTCAAATGGAGATGAATGTTCTGAGGTTACTAAAACACATACACCCTTGCATTCTCCGTTCGCTGATGAAAGTCACAATAAAAGTGATAACAGCTTCGCCATTTTTTTCTATAAGCCATTTGTTTTCTGAGGTAAATGTGTGGTTCTGCATTATCATTCTCTGAGTATTGCTCAATATATTGTATATCGGCAGGCAGGAAATAAATGTCGAATGCTGTTCAAATGTGTGTGCGAACTCCAATATCCAGGGATCAGTAGAGACAGTGAAATTGATCATACCGTACAGTCGTTTGTTTATTCATCAGCTTTCATGTCAATAGTTGAGAAGTGAGCAATATTGACAACAGTGTCTCCCTTTGTCCAGCGATCATGACACATATTGCATGAGTCACCAGACTGTTCGTCTTTTTCCCAATCCAGATCAATTGGAAACAAGCGGTGGTGAAAAGAAAACAACTATCGCTGAGTGTAAGTC